ACGTCATGCCCCCTCCTACCCCCTCCTCATGCCAGAGCCGAGCGGGACCCGTCGCCAAACCGTGGCCGTGCCGTGCCGTGCCGTGCCCGCGGGCTGGCAGTGGGGGTTTCCACGTCCCGCTCCCCACCGCGGGCACCCCCTTCGTGTACCTGCACCTCCCACGCCTCCGCTGCGGCCGCCCAGCCCGGGGTTCCCAGGGGTGCCGGGGCGGCTCCGGCTGCGGTGCGCGGGCAGGGTGCCGTCTACCTGCCGCTGCCCCGTTTGGTCCCCGTCAAGGTGAACCCTCGACCAAACCCTTCCTTGCCTGAGCAAACAACGGGGCCGGGCCAGGGCACGGCTGAATATTCATGATGGGGGAACCCAGGGCTGAGCCCCGATGGCGGCTGACAGCCCGCAGCGGCACCGGGGTGCCGGCACGGGCCACGGCACCGTGCCGGGCTCGGTCGTCACCCCGCCGACCTCGAGGGCAGGTCTCCGGCAGGTACCGGGACGGCACGTGGCACGTGTTTCGGGCAGCCAGGAGTTAAGGGCAACCGGCGGGAGCGTGGCTCTGGCAGCTTTCGGCGGGATTAACCGAAACCGGTGGCTGGCCGGGCTGCCAGACCGGTTCCTACCGCCCGCTTCTCCCCGCCGGGCTCTCTCTGCCCCACGGGCACCCACCGGTCTGTCCCCACACTGCCACCGCCCCGCTCGGCCACCGCCGGCCCCGGGGGGGGGACACACACGGGGGGCTGCCACGAGGGACGGAGGAGGAAAGCCGCCATCTCGCCCTCACGCGAGGTCTCGGCTCGTGGGGACACGTCCCACGGGGACGCACCGGCTTGGGGTTGGGGTGCCACCCATGGTGTCCCCCCCCGAGCGCTCACGTTCCTGGGGTGCTGCGGGCATCCCGGGGTGGCTGCTCCCAGCGGGCAGGTCCCCAAGGGATCCTGGCTCTGTGCTGGGGCACCTAGCGGTCCCCGAGGGATCTGGGATCTGCTCTGGGATCCCCAGGGGATCCCCAGGGGAGCAGGGATACCCTCTGGGGCAGCTGGGGATCCCCGGGGGATCCTGGCTCTGTGCTGGGGCACCCAGCGCTCCCCGAGGGATCTGGTCTGGGATCCCCAGGGGAGCAGGGATCCCCACAGGATCTGGGATCTGCTTGGGGGCCTCCCAGGGATCCCTGAGGGAAGCCGGGATCCCAGGAGGATCCTGGCTCTGTGCTGGGGCACCCACCGTCCTGTGGGACCCGGGATCTGCCCCGGTGATCTCCGAGGAATCCGCTGCACTGCGCATGCGTGCGGCGTCTTCCTCCCTCCCCCCCTTCCAACCCGTTCCGATTGGTCGGTGGCGCCTCCTCCCCCCAATTCCTCCCAGCCAACCGGGGCGCCGGCACGTGGCGCCGTGGCTCTATCCCTCCCTTCTGATTGGCAGGAAGGCGTGGCCCGCTGGCCCGAGCGCGTTTGGATTGGCCGAGCTGCGGGAGCGGTGCTCGGCGATTGGTCGAGGTGGGGTTGGGCGCCGGGATCGGGAGGGAGAAAGCGGAAGCGGAGCGACAGGCGGGAGGCATGCAGGTGGGGGGGCGGCTGGGACGGGGACCGGGACCGGGACCGGGGTCCTGGGGGGCCGGAGACACGTCGAGTCCGGGTGGGAGAAAGGGTGAAGGGGCTCAGGCCCGGGGGAGCGGGGACAGGCCG